ACTGAGATGCATCAGGACACTGAACAAGAACTGATTGTGTAAGAATAATCATCTTGTTTTCAGAATGTGTAAGATTATTTGTCTTGTTAGTCTGAATATTTGACTCAAATTAAGTGAAAATTTTCTGCCAGTGGAGTAAGAAAATTTTACTTGGTAAGATTCTTGAAATACTTCATTTGACTCAATTTTTTCTTCTTTCAAGAATCTTACCAAGTAAAATTTTCTTACTCCACATTGGCAGAAATTTTGACTTAATTTGAGTCAAATTCTCAGGCTAACAAGACAAATAATCTTACACATTCTGAGAACAAGATGATTATTCTTACACAATCAATTCTTGTTTAGTAAATCAGTCTCAAAACGAGATCAAAAAGACTTTTTGGCTGGATATAAGATTTTAAAATGTGGTAAGATGGACAGTTTTTGCAGTGTAAGCTACATGACAGGGTTTCAGGGAAAACAGCTTTGAGGTTTTTATCATTTCTGCAGAATACTACCATCAGACCAGATCAAAGGATGAAGCCAGCAATTCTATAGTTTATACTTATTGTTAATTAATGCCCTGAGGGGGCCAGCACTGCAACGTTTGAGTTTCTCTTTCAGTGGATTCTTCACTGTCTTTTGATGTTACAGTATTTCTTACCTGAAAGCTAAGACCTCCTGCCCTAAGTTCTGTTGCCTTACAGTCTGAAGTTTAAAGGGAACTTTTTGGCTTTTATTTGCACAACATTACTAACACTTTAAAAAGGAAAAAAAAAATAAAAATTTGTGAAACAATAAAACCAGAGATATTTAGTTGGATTGAAGTTGGGGTTTTCTCTGGATGAATCGGGACAGTGAACTAGTTCTACTTAAATCAGTAAATGGTAAATGGACTGTACTTATATAGCACCTCTCTATCCAACCAGGACACTCAAAGCTCTTCACACTACAATCTGTGTCCTCATTTACTCATTCACACAGCACTCTATTAGGTCTCTACAAAGCTAACATATACAATCATCTGTGGAGACTAATCAGTGCCGATCACATTCATACACTGATGGGACACATCAGAGGCATTAGGGCTGAAGTGTCTTGCCCAAAGACGCAACAACTGACACAGCTGGACGGGAGATCGAACCAATGACCTACTGGTTCCAGGACGACTCTCCTAACCACTCTGGCACAAGCTGTGTTTCCATTACAAATGTGCGCAAAACTTTGTCGATATTCTGTTAATGTCGAAAATCAGAGTTTCACAACTGCAGTGTTTCCATTAAGTAAGAAATGCTATTAAAATCACGAGTGAATARGTTTGTTCTCATGATAAGTCATTACAAACATGGCAGCGATGGATGTAAACACATAGCGTGTTGCTARCYCGACACTAGCGCTCATCATCAGAGGAGACGTCGGCGTCTTTTAACGAGACTTTCCAGAGACAAGTCCCTACTTGGGAGCGGCTACGTATGCTGTGTTTTTGGGAAATTGTAGTCAGTGAGTTTACTATTTTATACTACTTCTGTGATATTACTACTATTTCTACTTCCTGTTATCTTCTTCGTCGTCTTTTTCACCAGTAGAAACAGCCGGTTYRTGATCACGTGACTCCCGTGATGTGAAAAAAGTGTTTCCATTGTAGTTTTGCGAAAAACACCAATTTCGATACGGCTGAAATACCACCTCACCTAGCGCAAAAACTTTTTTTTTTCGAAATTGACATGTTTCCATTGAGCAAATTTATTTATTTTTGTTTTTTCGAAATTCTAATTTGCGCATTTTCATGGTCAATGGAAACGCAGCTACAGTTTCAAATGTCCCAATATCCAACAAGTTTCTCCCAAGAATTTCTGTGTTTGCCTTATCTCAGTAAAAGATTTCATTTCTATTCAAATCTGCCCAATTTTAAAATGTTTTTTTTTTTTTGTCTCCTGGGTGTTTGTCTGATTGATGCTCTCCTCTCCTGGACCATGAGTTTTGTTGGACAACTCTCCCTCTATCTCTCAGCAATGGAGGTGGTTGAAGAGAGTAGAGAAACCAGAGCAGCATGGCCACATCTCAGCTTGATGTTTGAGATTTTAGCCCTGAAAAATAGTTTGTATCAATGTAAATGTCTTCTGTGTTCACAGAAGTCATCACTCACTTTATTGTATTTTTATGCTGAAGTCTTTACAGATGGTGAATTTGTATCACAGTGGTTCTACCTGTCGATACATCAGGTGGTTTCTGAGAGCTACAAGATTCTGTAAAATCACTCTGAAAACAATCCAGCAATGTACTGATGTTAGAAAATAMTATTTGTACTTTTGAATACTTGAGTACTTTTAAACGCATGTACTTTTGAATACTTGTGTATTTTTAAAAGTAAGTACTTCAGTACTTTAACTTGAGTAGATATTTGATGGAGTAACTTTTACTTGGAGTTGAGTAGATTTGACCGAGTAACAATACTTTTACTCAAGTACTAGAGTTGAGTACTTTGTCCACCACTGAACATAACAGTCATGTTTTTGATTTGTGGGAGGAAGCCGGAGTATCCAGAGAAAACCCACGCAGGCACGGAGAGAAGCTCTACCCAGAAAGGTCCCCGGAATTGATCCGGTGTTACACCATATATTGTGACCATCATATATTGTGACCAGAGGGGGCGCTGTTGCAGTTCTACATTAGAACCTGGCCAAACATGGGCACAAAGAAGAATATGTTACACCAAAAGAGTAGCCTTTGATGAAGACACATACACAAAAAATAAAAAGAAATAAAATAAAAATAAAGCTATATTGACTGATTTACATGGTCACAGAATATGACAGCTGTTATCATACATTGTGACTTCACTGTAGCTTGGTGAATAGTAGAAATATTTGTGCAGATCAGCAGAAGCAGTTTTTTTTATAAATATCATTACTATTTACCAAGCTATAGTGAAGTCACAATATATGATAACAACTATCGTATTCTGTGACATGTATATCAGTCAATATAGCTTTATTTTTATTTTATTTATTTTAATTTTTTTGCGTATGTGTCTTCATCAAAGGCTACTCTTTTGGCGTAACATATTCTTTGTGCCCATGTTCGGCCAGGTTCTGTTGTAGAAACGCAACATCGCCCCCTCTGGTCACAATATATGATGGTCAAAATATGGTGTAACACCGGCAACCTTCTTGCTGATGCATATGTGCCATATGCATTTTTCTCTTTGAGAAAAGGTTTCTTTCCTTTTGATCAATTGAAAGTCCGTTTAAATTGCAGGATGTAAAGCAACAAAAAGAAAAGAGTAAGAATGGGGGTGAATACTTTTGCTGCTGAGAGGTGGAACAAGTCAGAAGCTCATTCTGACACTCATCTCACTCCTGAGACAAAACTGTTGTGTGAAGGAAGAAGTGTGCCTTAAAAAAATGAAGTGTTGAGTTTATTTAACCAAGT